ATAAATCGCTAGTTCACATTTTGAATAACCGTCAATCGGTTGAAATAATTCTCAAATGAAAGAGATGAATGGCAAGTCGATTTATTAAAATGAGATTCTTAAACATGGAAATTAGTTAAACAAAAGCTAAGAACAATATACAACAAGCTATGTAGGCAAACTTATGAGACAACAACCAAGCTAATCAAAGCATGAACTATTTAAATAACTTAGAACAGCCCTAAAACAGCCCTTAAGAGAGGGAAAAAAAAAGTGGTTAAAAGTGCATGAGAAGAGCCTAAAAAGCTAATCAACAAAGAAAGAAAACAATGCTAGTAAACAAAAACAAAGAGGGGTGGCTAACCCCTCCACTTTTGAGACTGCAAAGCATGATTTTTAGCCTTGTTTTAACTCTGAAAATCAACTTAGGGAGCAAAGGAAAATAGTGTAAAAGTAAGGGTTTAAGCTATAGGTAAAGGTGTAGAAAGAGTATAAACTCTCTCTACCCTTTTGGTAGCTCTCCAAACCCAAACCCTAACACTTGGAATAGAATCAAAACCACATAAACTTACAAAAACTAGATAGTAAATGAAAGAACAAGAAGTAAAAGAGAGGATAACAAGCTTATACCTCTCAAAGAAGTGAGCTTTTGCTTATGAATCAAACTAAGTCTCACCACACTTTCAAGCTTGAATTATGGTGTTCAAGGCTTAACCAAGGTTCTTAGGCTAAGGTGTGAAGGTGTATATGGTGTATGGATATAGGTTTAAGGTGATAGGTTTGCTCAAAGTGTCGCTTGCATAAGAAGAAGGAGAAGAGGGAGCTCTCAAGAAGGTGTAGAGGCTTTTTTGAAATTCTTCAATCCTCAAAATAGAGATATATGGTCGTTTTTATAGAATTTGAGCAAGATGAGTCATAAATATCTTCAAAAATGGACAGCTGGCGGGCTCCCGCCTAGAACAGTGTTTTTTGCTACTAAGGCACGGCCGGCCTTCAATAGCCACAGCCAGCCCTCAATGAGGCACGGCCGACCTTCAATGTATTCCCCTGTTTTTTTTTCTTCAGACTCAGCATAGGGTGGCGCAATGTGTAAAAATGAATTTCTTGGGTATAATCAATGGGAATATGGGATGTTTGGTATTGTTTTGGAGCTTTAAACATGGCCCCTTCGTTGAGACCTCGAACTACGCACAACACCACTTTCATCATCGAGTATACCGGATAAAGTGCTCGAGCCTTGCAAGCAGTCAAAAATGGGGTGTCCACAGTTTACTTCATTATTTCAATCCATACTCATAGTTGTATTGATTGGGGATTGGCATGAGTGCTATAATATGGTGTTTGATGTTGGAAAATGGCTTTGGAAATATTCTTATTTTTTTGTTAACTTTGACCATTAATTAAGGTGGGACCCAAGCGTTATTTTTAACATTTTTCATTGGGTTCATGTTTGATGCTACATACTGAATAAAACTGTGTATTTGGTTGCTCAAAACCATTTTCGGATGAATGAGAATTCAACGCGCATTTTCGAGTTCGTGGAAATGAATTTAGGTGGGTTTTCTACACATTTGTGAAATGTGCTTGTCCAACATTGGAAAGGCTTAAGGTTTTGAATGGGTTTATATACCTTAGCTTGGGATACTTGGGATAGACCCTAAAGGGTGCCCAAGTTTATGACAGGGTGAAGTTATGGGTAAAGTGAGTTAGACCCATTGGACCCAAAACAAAAACCACACTCACGCGGCGGCGCCGTCGCCGCCATCCGTCCGATTAGTCAGGCGGGCTAGGCTTGCGCTTGGGCACGGGTGCGTGGTGTGAGGTTGGGTTAGGCTTGTCTAGCCCAATATTTATCTTTTTGGGCCAAAAACATTTGAATTTGAATTATTTATTTTTAATTTTGTTTTCAAAATTTCAAATAAATTGGTTCAGAATTTTTTCTTCACCCAAACAGATCCCTAATGGGTTCAGACCCACCTGAACAGGTTCAAAGGGTTCAAAACAGGTTCATACCTGTTCAATTCAAATTGAATCTGTCCAAACAGATTCAAATCTGTCCAAGTACCTATTCAATCTGTCCGAATAGGTTTCTACCTGTTCGGAATAGCCACTATTTCTCCTATAAAAAGCCAGCCTTCTGGTATTTCTTGGATCAAAACTTTCTATCAGAATTTTGTCCTTCTTCTCTGTGCTTTTCTGCATCTATTCTGCATTTAATTTTAGGAAGAAAAAGAGAGAGTTACTACATAATTTGGTTCGCCAGACTTGGTTTTGTAGTGCTGCAAATTCAAGCGTTAGTCGTTGTATCCTAGAAAGTAGATACTGTTAAAACTCGAAGCACCAGAGCGAGGGCGAAATCTATTTTAAGGAGATTGCATCCAACACAAGCCTCAACATTAATTTCTGTAAGGGTTTAATTCAAAATTTAATTTATATAATTATTTTCTGAATTATTTTATTTTACTGTTTATTTAATTTATACACACACACCACTGTGGGTGTAACAATCTTAAAATACATTTCCATTTTTTTATTTAATTTTTTGTTAGACAGACGAATATTTTGCTTCGGAAAATTAAATAGTAGTCATATACTGTTTAATTTCTTAAATAGTAGTAATATACTGTTTAATGATTTCTTTCATAACATAGTAGTAATATACTGTTTATCATTGGAATTTTGTTACAAAATATTATTATGTATATTTTGTGTGTAAATTCTTTTTTGTATAAATTTGTGATTGGTGTCTTATTATTTCGTTAAAATTATGACAACTAAAATAAACAGTACTAACACTGTTATTACTCAAAGCCCCACACCTATTGTGCCAGTGGGTACTCCAGCAGTACCGGTAAATCATGGGGAGAAGCTAGAAAAATTCAATGGAAATGATTTTAAAAGATGGCAACAAAAGATGATGTTTTATCTTACCACATTGAATTTGGCTCGCTTCACTCTTGAAAAAGCACCGGCACTGAACGAGGGAGACACTGACCAGCAAGTGGTTGTCACAGTCGATGCATGGAAACATGATGGTTTTCTATGTCTGAATTATATCCTCAATGGGTTGGACAATACACTGTACAATGTGTATAGTGTCAAAAGCACTGCTAAAAAACTATGGAAATCTTTGGATCATAAGTATAAGACAAAGGACGCCTATACAAAGAAATTTGTTGTCGGCCGTTTTCTATATTTTAAATGATGGATTCCAAGACGATTATTAGCCAGGTTCAAGATCTCCAATTAATTCTCCATAGCATACATGCGAATGGGATAGTTCTCAGTGAATCTTTCCAAATAGCAGCAATCATTGAAAAATTGCCACTATCTTGGAAAGAATTCAAGAATTATTTAAAGCATAAGCGCAAGGAGATGAAATTGGAAGAACTGATAGCACACGGCTCAGGATTGAGGAGGACAACCGTGGTTCCGACAAGAAGTCAGGAAACCATGTCATGCAAGCTAAAGCAAATGTTGTGGAACATGGACAAGAGTCAAAGTTCAACAACAAGAAGCAGAAGCATGATGGCAATGGTCCCAAACAAGGATCCACTAGTAAGATCAACAAAGGGATCAACAACGGGTTCAACAAGAGGTTCAAAGGAAAGTGTTTTGTGTGCGGCAAAGATAGACATCGCGTTAAGGATTGTCACGTTTGCAAGGATGGAGGGAGTTCAAGAAAAAAATCCAGCACAAGCCAACATAGCCGAGGATTTTTATCATTTCAATTTAGTGATAGCACTACTGCAAAAACAGATAAGGATCACACTTTTTTTGTGTGATGTTTGTTATTTAATCACACCTTTTTAGTTTTATTAAAGTGTGATCTTTGGGAGTGTGATTAAAAGGGGTCATTTTTAATCACACCTTTTAAGTGTGATTAATAACATTTAGATCACACCTTTTAAGTGTGATTGATAATATTTAGATCACACCTTTTAAGTGTGATTGATAAGATTTAGATCACACCTTTTAAGTGTGATTAATAACATTTAGATCACACCTTTTAAGTGTGATTAAAATATTTAGATCACATCTTTTAAGTGTGATTAATAACATTTAGATCACAATTGGGAATGCTTTAACCTTGTTAATGACGCTTGCAACGACTCCATGGCTATCACTGCCTTCAAAATGGGTTTGCATCCTGACAGCGCTCTCCGCAGCTCCTTGACTTGAAGACCCCCCAAAACGGTCTGGTCGTTGATGAAGAAAGTTGAGGAATACTGCAAAGTGGAAGATGACGCCTTACGGGTTAAAGCCAGAAATGTGGCCAACAAGACGGCCCCTTTTGAAATTGCTTAGTCGATAAGTTCCGTACCACCTCAGAGTCCTGAACCGCGGCATCGGGCTAAACGAGACAAGAGACGGGATTCTCGCAGATTGAGCAACCAATGCCCCCATCGAGCAAATGAACAACTACAAGTCGATGGCAGGCGCACAAGGCACGTCGATAAGAAATACACAGAGTTGTCAGAGCCGATCAGCGCGGTTATGTCCAAAATCCAACACCTTCCTGTAGACACCCCGTTTTTGACCGACCTTAAGACTCAGACGTCATCGATTGAGCGCTCGGTGATTGTGCATGTTGTGCTCGTTTCGAGTTTCTGG